TGGTGATGCAGTGCAAGTAAAACTGGATGTATTTGGTGATGCAGTGCTCTGATGTCTGTGGTAAATTTATGCAGAAGTGATCTCTAGCTGTCCCGTGTTTTTTTTATTGCTGTTAAACTGAATGGCTTTTAATAGCAGCAGATAAAATGAGAGAACAGTAACCTCAAGCATAGTTTGTCATGCTTTTTTATTATAATTTGTTAAAAAATTACATGGATCAAATTACAAACAAATTACATGGATCCAGGTACGAAAGCTTCCATAACATTTTCACTTCAGGTTACATGTCAAACACTGAAAATCCTAGACAATGCAGAGGAGTTAGAGAAGCAACCTAATGTCAGCCTTGTCCTCAGGAAGCAACTGCAACATCAGAGTGTAATGACAAATGGAAAATCCCCAGATTTCTCAAATTTCCTGGGGGTGATTACAGCAGTTTGTGCCCAGAAGAGGTCAGAGAACAGTTGCAGCTGCTCATGCCTACTGCAGGGCACAGCCAGCCTGTGAATCTGAAGACACTTTAACAGTCTGATGTGATCCCTGAAGGTAACCACTTCCTCTGCACCAGTCAATAATTGGAAACTTTGCCTGGCAGAAGCAGTAAGTGAACAGAGTTATGCTCATTCCAAGCCTACTTTTCCCAGTCTGCCACAGCTTGTTTTATTTTAAGCTGTCGATTACCTCTTGGAACTTTGGCCTCTCTTTGTGCATAATGCATTATGAGAAGTAAAAGCTTTCATCAGGAAGGATTTGAGAGCTACAGAAAGCTAAGTCTTGTGTCCTGTTTGCTGATGGACAGGTAGTTTTTGGTTAGGAATTCATCACTTGGGACTGTTTCTGAGATCCTATGATCTGCACAGTCTTTTGGTTTCTGTGGTAAAACAGTCTTTACAGGAAGAATGGTGAAAGATTAAGCTAACAGGAAAAAAGTCTGTTATGTGTCAGAACCTTGTGTCAGATACAGGTTTTGCATCTAAAGTTATGCCCAATTGATCTTTGAAATAATGATAATATTGCTGCTTCCTGAGTCTGCAGTGAAACAAGGGAAAGCTCTATCCCTTAGGGAGTATTGCAGACCCCAGTGATGAAATCTTAGACATCATTGATCAGCAGATAAATGGTGGTATTTGGTCATCTGCTCTTAGATACACCTGTGGGACATGGGGTGGGGTGAAGAATACCAGTTTTCATTCTACATCTGGTTGTTACTGGTGCTCTGCTGGTTATAAGCTAAGGAACCCGTGTTCCTGTCATGATCCAGAGGTAAGGCCAAGTGAACAGCAAATCCCAGTGCCTTGACTGGCCACCAGACCTGTGGCTTTGGCTCCTGACTTTAGGTTTCTCCACACCACATTGTGCTTTCAAATCTGGAGAAAAGGGTTTGAAGGTGAGTGCTTCACGCTCAAGAAGAAGGGGTTGTGTTGGAGCCCTTCCTGCTATGGATGCTTATCCATAAATAGGAATTTAAAATGTGTACCTTTTCTTCCCCCTGCTGTTAGTCTTTTTTAAAAGTAACCTTCAAATATAAAGAGAGAAATACCTTGGTGGAATGGTTTTGCAGTTCTTTCAAATAACCAAATTACTCCTGCCTTTTTCCTGGTTTTTGCACAGGGCGTAGTTTGTGCCACAGGTTACGTTGCTTTGTTCATTGGATGAAGATTACAGTGAATTGCTGGAAGATGCCTCAGCCATACAGCACATGGGAGCATTTGCCTTATGCTGACCACTTGTGTTGAGGTTTTCCTCTTGGCCTAAGGGTGAAGACTCCAGTGTTGGATACACACAGGTGCTTCTGAGATGTAGACTGGGGAAAAAAACATTCTGGGAATCTGAGACCAGTTTCTGCTACTAGTCACTGGTAAGTAATTCGTGTTTTCTAAGTATTGTAGGATTTAGCTGAAAGTAGGAAAGGGTTTGCAGTTCTTAGGTGTCCAAATCTTGAGAGTATTGAGCTTCCAAAAAACAGTTGAGCTGTGTTTCAGTTCTATTTGGGATCAGGGGGTGCTGCTATTTCTGTTATGAAGTGCTACTAATATAATCTGGGATGGTGTGGGCTCCCCCTTGGATCAGGCCTAGCAGAGAGTCGAGTTTAGTTTTTTGCTAGATTTTCATTTGACCAAGGATCTAGCAAATGGATTGTCAGGTAA